TCACTTTGTACGGGAGGTGCAGCCGTACGTTGTGGAGCAATTGGAGCGTCATATGCTTTTCAAGAGTCCGGCTAACAAACCTCTACCGGAGGATAAAATTAACTCTGTTGTAGAGCGACTGTTTTCTCATGGTGTTGTGGTACAGCCGGATGAAGTCAAGAGGAGGCGATCGCAGAGCACATCACCCCCTTTTAAACCAAGAGTGAGTGTGAACTCGGAAAGAATCGTCGCGAAGCAACGCCAGGGTGGACAGGTTGTAGAAGACGTGGTGGAGCGGCTTCTTAAGCCACCAGTGTACTCTAACCGAACTGGAAATTTGCGTCGGCAACTTGAGGCAACACAGGAGAATGAGGAGTTGAAGCTGATGCGGTCGGAATACGTCCGAGGACTGCAGGAGTTGTTACAACGTGAGCGTCGACGATCGTTTATCGAGGCGAAATTTAATGTGCTTTCGAGTGCCATAAATAAGGAACGCCAGAGCCATGAGGGCTCGCAACGGACTCTCACCGAACACCGTGCAGAGGAACTTGTGAGGGCGGCTGTGATTATTTTGTCACCCGATGAGGCGGAAGAGTTGCGCAACATTATATTATCCAGCGGCGCAAGCAAACTGAACAAAGAGGGATTTATTGCTCTCTGTGAGAAGGCCGTGGAGGGGCTCTCCAATCCACATGCAAGTCCACTGGGTCGAGTGCCTCCCCCACGGATTCACGCGATGGAGGCCAATCTCACGGATGATGACAACGGCAGCTATGCAGGGGCACGAAAGAAGTTTCAACGTGGAGCTCTTTCACCGGAGGAACTTGAAGAAGTGAGGGCCCGACGAGTGGAACGGAAGCGGCAATTGGCGGAGGAGGAGAATCAGAAACGTCAGGCAATGATAGAGGAAGAAATGCGTCAATGCACATTCCGTCCGCCTCCCCCTAGGAAGGTGCCACGAGAGTGTCATGTGAACCACAAAGTGGATGTGAAAACGACTAAGGCAGACGAACTCCGTCGAGCTCACATTCAAAAAACCCTCGAAGGGGAAGAACATGCTGGAGGAGCCGCCGCCGCCCTGCCGACTGCTTCTGCACGAGAACTCTTTGGTGATGGCGGAAGCCACCCAAGGTTGCATCGGTCACAAAGTGCAAACACTCGCTCTCCCCGAGCGATGTCCACTCTTCATACAAAACCAGCATTTGTGGCGCCGGCAGAGGCATCATTTGAAGATAGGACGTTCTCGCCGAAGCGTAATAGATATGAAAAACCACGTCGAAGCCATACCGCCCATAGCGATGCTTTTTTGAGGAAAAAAGATTTTGCTGGCGTGCCTCTCAAAGATCGTTCATCTCGCAGGTCCGCCGCAGTCTCATCCGATCGAAGCTCTGAAGACGCCGCTGCTGCCGACATCACATCGCGAGGGATGAAGAAATGCGAGTCCGTTGCAGAGGCGACCACCGTATCTCCACGTTTGTATCGGGATGTCATTTCTGAGCATGCGGCTTTTGGCCGCGACGGAGCCCTCACCGAGTTTGGTCGAGAACTTATTTTAAGGCAACTCCGGGAGTATAGAAATAAGCGATAGTGTTTGCTGATTTATCATAACCTTTATTATTATTATTATTATTATTATTATTATTTGCTGTATGTATTTTCTTATTGTTATCATTTGTGTACCTTTCTGTGTGTGTGTGTGTGTGTCTATTTGGGCGGTCAATTATAAGTATGCATGGGACGAATCTCTTCTGTTTAATACATACCCTATAGAACAAAGTTGCCTGTGACCAATGTTGATTTGCGTAGTCCATGGCAGCGGGATCGCTGGGATGGGCAAATCCATTCTAATTGAATACGTCTCAAGCGAGGCGACATGAATACAATAAAAAAAAAAGGGGGGGGGGAGGGGGGGAATGAGATTTCGGTATCCAAGACGGGTGCGAGTGCGGGCGCGTTTACACATAAAGACGCCTTTCTTTTTGCGTGTGTGTGTGTGCGTGTTGTTGTTGTTGTCGTTGTTGTGTATTTATTTTCCTTTTCTCGCTCTTACTCTTTACGGTTGTTACTGACCAAAATTATCTTTCATATGAAGAAATTGTTTCATGAAGAAGAAGGCGGGTGGTTGCCGCAGGTTTTAGAATTCTATGCTGGACGGGGAGACTCTTCCAAGCGTTGGACAGTCCCAAGTGGGCAATGCGGGCTTGTCACCGGAACAACGTAAATATCACGTTATCAGTGCGCAGCTAGAGAGTATCATGGGTGAAGCATGCAAGGAGCCCCCGTCTGGTGCGAATTTTGTGTCGATCAAAAGACGTATCACTGCGCTGCAGTATGCCCTTGAAGAAGCGGAGCGAAGAATTTGTGAGAAGCAGCGTCTTGATGACATTTCAAGGAAGAGAAGGGTCCTTGATGTTTATTTGCGTCGGGCGAAGAAGGATGAGGAGCGGAGAGATGTGCTCGAGAAAGACGATGGGCGACGAAAACAACTGGTGTCTGAAATGCAAGAGGAAAAGCGCTTTTATTACAATCAAAAAAACAAGGAAGTGGGTGGACGGATAGAGAAGTACAAAAATTCCATTTTTGATGCACAGGCCGCAGTGATTGAACGGGCGGAAGCAGAGGGCGAGAAGAGGAACAGAATTCTCTCACGTCTGCAAGAGGAACGTGCACGAACTGCTTATGAGCATAAAGAGAAATCACGGAAGCGCATGGAACGCTGTCGTGAGGTTCTTAATCGCCGGAAGCAACAAGAGGAAGAAAGGAGACGTGAAAAACAAGCCGCATTTATTTCTCACATGAGGAAATTAGAACAGGACGAGGGAATTGACGCCATACTAAATAAAAGAAAAGACATACACTCCTTTTTGGCCCGTCGTCGCAACAGCAGCAGGGCTGGCACTGACGATGGCTTCATGGAGGCAGCAGCACCATCGAGGTATAAAACCCATGAGACGCTTTTGAGGGAATTGAAGGAAAAGGAGGAGCAGCATAAGGCACGGTATGAGGCAGAGCAAGCCTTCAGGCAGTACGAAATACAGCTTCGGGCCCATGCACGACAAAAGCGCATGGAGAGACAGAGACAAAATTACAGAGCTCAGCTTGAAAAGCGAATTCAGCGTAATGATGAAATAATTGAAATGGCACGCGAAAAGAAAAAACGGGGTGAGTTAGTAAAGGATGCTCGCGAGGCAAGAGAACAAGAAAATCTTAATGAAATTACACGCGATATAGAACAGCACCGTAACCGCGCAGAGAAGATGGCATACCGGCGCCACCAGGATGCCTTGGAGAAGAACTATTACAGGTGGAATGGTCGAGCACAGCGGGTCATTCTCCAATTGCAGGATGCCATCAGGGCGGATAAAGATAAAAATTGTGCGATGGATGAAAACGAAGTTTTTATGCCTACGGCGTTATGTTCATTTGATAATCTTTAACCAACCGCGGCGCTGGTGTAATTGCAAGCAGATGTATTGTTCTTATCCGTTCCCTCTTTCTCTCTTCATCTAGACCTTCTTTGGCTACATTGCTTTCTAGCACGACAATTCAGGGTGTGAGTTGTGCGTCAATATGATTTGTTTTGCCTATTTGAAGGAGACAGCATGTAGTATAACATGTACATATTGCCAATTGGAGCAGCGGGAGTGAAAGAAAAAAACAAAAATAACTATTTATTACTAAGAAAGGAAGTGAAAAAAGGAGAAATGATTGAAACTGCAAAGTTAAGCACCTTTTGTTACCGGTTGTTGTTGTTGTTGTTGTTTGTGTGTGTGTCTGTACTTATCTGTGTGATGGGGTGATGTTACTTCGCCGTGTTTAACTTTTCTGTTCATGTATTGCCTCATTTGATATGTGCTTCCAAAAATGCAGCAATGGCATGTAGCGAGCGCGTTTTTTTTTTTATTTTTTTGTTTGTTTGTTTCTTATTTATTTATTTACTATTTTCTGCTTTCTTACCCGCCCTCTTTCCACAGTCCTCCACGTGGAGAAGACTTTGTCGGTTGTGGGGCTCTTTTAATGAATGTCACCTTGCGAGTTTAAAAGGAGCCTGACTGTCTTGAAGTGCTTTTATTTATACGCTTCTTTAGTAGAGTATGCGCATTGGATAAATCGGCTGAACTGTGAAGAATGTCAGGCACATTGGACCCAACTGTAATCTTCTTTTATTGCTCCTTTCCCTTCTGTGAATGAGAGGACGCGGCCTTATGACAGATGCATATTACATTTAACGAGTTTACGCAAGGTGATCGCAAGATCCGTTCCCTTTTTCTTTTTCTTTTTCTTGTTGTTGAAGCCGGATAGACGACTAACCGGATGAGTTGCATCTAACATATTTTGAAGGGGAGAGGAGATGCATGTATGTGAACGTTGCTGCGGGAAAAGGGAAAAGAATGACAAGTGGCGCTTATTGGAAAGCCTTTTTTTTTTTTTTTTTGAGCACCTCTGCCGTATTTGTTTTCTGTGGATCGGGCGCCAATCCTCGAAGGACTGATTCTTTTTGGAAGTTCACTGACGTGCCCTTTTGATGGAAGGGTCATTTCTCTTTTTTTTTTGATTTATTGCTTGCCATCTTCTCGACGTGTGTACGAGGGGGAGAAGCGGCATTTGTGGGGATTTGAATATATATTTTTTTCTTTTTAGCATTACTCTGCGTTTCTAAGGGGGGGGAATGCAGAGCGTGAAGGATGTTGGGGTAACGCCACTGAGGCCGTTTTGTAGTACTCCACTGACACAGGTGCCGGATGTCGTGTTGATACCGCCCTTTTACGTCATTCTGCTGGCGAGTGTTTTGTGCTGTTTGTGGAACACGGCTTTTAATTATTTTATGTCCCGCCCTGGCAAACTTGCACACACAATTCGAAAGTGGGGGAGAATTTTACGGTTGACTCGTCGAACGAAAATATCCAATTTGCAGGAACCCAGCGGGATCCCACCGAGCTGTGGCGAAGCTTCCATTGAGACCGATGGACTTCTTGGCACGAGTATTTTTACTGGCGACAACTCCTACGACACATTTTTTATTCAACGTATGTCTGACACTGAGTTACAGGTGGAGGCTCCTCTCCAACCGCACGCCAACGTATTAAACAACGCTCTGCGTGACTCCCTTCGGTCTGTAAGAAAGGAGGCACAGCACATGGTGTTTGTGTACAACCCAAAATATATGATTGTAGCAACAGTAAAAAGCCTGATGATGCTGGTTGTGCTGCAGTATCACTTTGACTACAAGGGCGGGTGGGACCGCCTCGTTGTTTGCTCCGCTGCCAACTTGATGAGTGGGCTGTTGACTCCCGTCCTGGAGTACGGTGCGAGGTTGCTGCTGCCTTTAGACCTCGAGCGTGGGACGCGAGGGGTGATTGTGGAGCCGGAAGAGCCGGCAGACTCGGTGCTTATTGTGGAGGTGCTTGGTCACATTGGCAGGCTGGAGCTGGAGGATCTTGAAACGGTGCTGATTCAGGGAAGCACGTTCATTGTCTTTGGAGCTGCCCTTCTTCCTGCAGTGGTTGTTTTCTGTTTGGCTGGCGTTGCCTCCTTTCTCTGGCTTTTTTTGCCGGTGTGGACGCTTTACATGGTTGTGCGCCGCCTGTACTACGGGCACATTGGTGAGTTGGAGATGCAAAGGCCGTCATTAGGGCCGATGAATGTGTTTTTGACGCCGGCTGGTGAGTTTGCGAAGGCGGCGTTCCTAAAAGTCATGACGCTCTTTCTGCTTCAATGGACAGTGCAGTGCAGTTTCTTGCTTGGACTGCTGCTACTGCAGGGCGGGGGGTATGAAGAGGCTCTGCAACTTGAGGCCAGTCATCAGTTCTGGGGGTGCTACAATATCCCCGAGATGACGAGGTTTGAGTGGCTCTGCTTCGCAAGTCAAATACTTTTTTGAGTAAACCTATAAGCCAAGAACGCATTATTCACTTGTCCCTTGTATTTTATGGACGTTGTGTTTGTGTAAGGGGAGAAAACAACTACGTTGGGATTTATTTTTTTTTTTGTCTGGGTCGCGGGAAGATGAGTTTTTTATTCTTTTTTAATGTGTTATGTTTGCTGTTGGCTTTTTTTCAAAATGTTTTTCTTTTATTATTATTCTTCGCAGTCTGTAGGGGAAATCATTGACCACAAAACGTGGATGCTGCGAGCACGACGTTCTTTGCCTTTACTGCCAGGAAGCAGGGCGTGGCTTTTGCGCTTTTATTCCTCAACAAGAGAGCTTCGTCAACTGCAGTCACGTGAACGCCTTATTTTAGGCACTCACGGGGCTGGTGTGGTGCAGCATGCGTCGGTGTCGCAGCCCCTCTCCGTTAATTTCCAAAGCTCTGTGACTGTGGCGGCACCAGCAGCGGATTTGTTTCGCACGAAGGTGCATGAGGGAACTGGAACTAGTGGGAAGGATCCGTATTTGCGTACACTGCCCAACCAAGAGAGCAGAGAGCCAGAGTCCTCCGTTTCTCAAGCCCACATCACCGTGGCGCCAACGGTGGATGAGTGCAGCACACTTGACAGAAGATGGGAGAGTATGCAGTACTGGTTTAACGATCAACACCCGCGGCTCGTGATTTATTTGAGGCAACTGCAGGTGCAGGAAGTGCCGCCAATTTCTCCTGCAGCAGAATCTTTACTGTCGAAGTTTGAAGAGGTGGCGATACCAAAACTAGCCTTGGATGACACTGATCGACAGCGACTTACAAAACTTTGGGGAAATCTAACTGAAGAAGTCAAGACATTGCGGTTGCGTTATGTTTTTGATCGCCTTACTTTTGAATCTAAACTTTCTCAACTTTGTAAAGAGGCCTTAGAACAGATGCATGCCATGTCTTTGAGCGGAACGGAGGGCTCTTTGGCGGTTGAAGCGTTACGACGCCTAACAATTTTGGAACGCAATGATTACATTCAAAAACATCTGATTGATGTTACGAGTAATGGGGCCTATCTTGGTTTTGGCGATGCCGTGTGGCGAGTCTTTTTCTCTGCTGTGGAGGCTCACAAAGCAGTTCTTTTTGGTGAAGGCACACCAGACACGATTCGTTTCGCCTGGGAGTCGATTTTGCAACAAGATGTGGTTCGAGTTCCCGATGTGACGGCTCCAGTTGCACTCTTCTTAACACTTGTCTGTATCCATGAGGGTAACAGGCTTGCGTCTGTTGAATGGAGGGAGTCTTCATCAAGCTTGGATGAGGGAATTTGCTCTTACGACAACAAACAGCAGAGCCCCCTTCTGGCACTTCTTAATCCCGTCGTGAAGCGTCGTTTTGTCACCAAAATGGTGGAATCTTTGCTACGGAGCCATTCCTCGAACGAGTTTTCCAAACTTTTGCGTAAAAATGGGTTGCATGACCTCAGTCGTGATGTCGCCCTCTGTGAGGCCTTGAATAGCAGTCAGGGAATTCTTGAAGATGACGTTGCGGAGTTGGTTTCTCGCTTTGAGAGTACAGGCGAAGTGAAAACTCTACTCTCTTCTCTCATTGGCGGAAAGGACGCCGCTGTGCGTGAGACTGTGGCCAAAATCCTGGGTATCCCCTTGGCCACGACTGTGGATTGGGATGCCATGATGCAAAGCGTAGATTGGACAAACAACTGGCGGCGACTGGCGACAAAACTTCTTTGTGACCAAACTCTGCTGGTCTCTATTCATAAATTGGTGAAGAACGCAATTGGCGCCAAAGGCATTTCAAGACATTTGTTCTCAGAGGAGTATGCGGATCAGCTTCAAAGCATCATTGCCATACGTGAGGAGAGAGAACTCAACCGCAAACTCAAAATTGATCGTATTGTGAGGGAACTCTCTTCTTATCAGAGGGTGGATCAGTCCTGTGAAATGCTTCGTCAACTCGGTGTTGACATGAAGGAGTTGGATCAGGCGGCGTTATCGATACGACAAGAAGGCCTTGTGAAGAGACCTTCTGTAGATGAGAACGTGATCTCACGTGCTCTTGAGGCAGTCGGTAACCGTCATCCAAACTGGGTGCGGGCAGGTGTTATTGCACCAGCGGCCATAAAAGACTCTATAGGGGCATTAAAGGCCATGTTATTCATTTTTATACGTCTTTCATATGTTCCTCAAACGGGCCTGGCCGCAATGGCGCAACGTTTTCGGCGTCGCATAGGCCCTATTGGGGTGGAGCCTTTCCAGTTTAATATCCCCACTGAAGTCGGTTTTGTTGAGCATTACAACAATTTAGAGTATAAACGATATGATTGGCAGGGTTGGTACCAACGGATGGTGGATGTGCATAACCGGAACATTTCCCTTCGCTGCCGCGTCAGTGATCTCAAACGACTGGATGCCAATGGTGTACCTTTTGTGGACATGCAGACAGAACGTCGTCTGCGGATTCTTGCGGAGGGACGTGTTGGCATGGGGGTGTTAATGCTCGACTCAGACAAGTATGAAGATCAAAAGGATAACATGACCTTTGGCTTGATCAAGTTGTCCGAACTCTTGTCGGATGCACGGAAGGCACAATTGGGCGAAGAATATTGGCCCTCCGTCGAGATGAAGGTGCGAAAACCAAGTGGGCAGAGTAGGGCACATTACTCCCTCATCGACTACGATCGTATTGAGAAGAAAAGCAGGGAACTGTACGAGAAGTACCGTGATGCAAAGAAGAAGAGTCTGTTTGTCACACCAATGGACTTGTGGCTGGAGGTGAGGGGAATGCAAGTAAGAAAAGCCTCAGAGGGCGCCGATGCGGACGGCTACACGGTGGACATCTTACAGGATGCACTGAGCAGCGAAGACAACGAAAAAAACTAAGCCTTCAGTTTGAGGGAAGAAGATGTCGTCGGTCGGGAGGTGAGAAATTGAAGTAAAAGAAAAAGAAAAAAGAGAGAACATGACGTCAGACATTATGATGTGAACGGATGGGTGTGCGTGATGCCGTCATTTCCACTTCTGTTCACCATCAATGAAACAACAGTGAGCCTCACTGCCATGATTCGTGCAGCCTTTCTTCCTTTTTTTTTTGTGTGTGTGGGTGCGTATTTATCTATTTATTTATTATCATCTCTTAGCAGTGCGAAGGAATAGCGAAGACACCAGGCTCCCTAGAATTGCGTGGGTCTCGTCACGTGTGAATATGAAAAACACATGGCCCAATATGAATCACGGTGTAAGAGGAACGACGACACTTTGATGTCCCAAACTAATTTTATCGACCACCCTCCCTTTGGTGCTGCGCAGACCTTGGAGCGAGGGCGCGCTGCTGAACCGTCACTTGGAGTGCCACGGAGACTGCCCCATGAGTTGTGGGAACAACAGTTAACTGCTCATCTCCTCCGTCTGAAGGAACTTCAACTTGAGCGAATTTCTCTTGTGGAGAAGAGCTCGCAGTGCCTCCTAAGAGAGAAGTGGATGCGCATTGCCACGCAAAAACTCAGGGAAGCGACCTCACGCACCACCGCATTACGGCACAGGCTTCAACAATTGCTGACAGAAGGAACACCTGCATGCACCGAGGAAGGTGCACTTCAGACAAACCACTTTTCCTCTTTCCATTGCCTCCCGCCGGTGGACATTACTGCGCTGTGTTCACTTATAGTCTCATGCTCCGCAAACGTGGAGGTTTTGACCAGCCGACTTCAGAGAGTGATGGGGACCATTTCTGAGGGTGAAGCCTCCAATTCCCTTTTTTCTCTCTCTTCTTCCTTGATGCAAATCTTGCCGCGTTGGATTCAGTATAATTACATCTCCGTGTTCTTCTCGCGTTATCTGCAAATGGCTTTCACTCTTGCGGCATTGCAGCTTCAACGTTCCGTTGATGAAAAAATAAAGGAATATAATTTACAAGAGAAGCAGGAAGTTCAACATCGACGAGAGGAGCGTCAGCGCGCACGGGAAGCACGACGCATGCAGTTAATTAGAGCCAAAGAACGTCTTGAAAGAACAGAAAAGCATGCATTTGAAATACGCAAACGCATCTTTCTTCTGCATGAATGGATCACAGGGAAACGACGCTTGCCGACTGGACAACTACTAAACCCCGTCATGTGCACTGAAGTACTGTATCGCATACGGGCAGACCTGGCCATGGGGGAAATGGACTTTCTCCTACAACTAACGGCTGACAATGGACGAGCACTAATCCACACGGCAGCATAAAAGCTCCCTGTGCCATATTCTTTTTCACCCAGATGCAATAAAAATATGAAAACAAGACAGATGTCTACAAATACTCCGTGATGTAACAAAACTAATATTACTTTTAGCCGTGCACAAAAAAAAAAAAAAAACTCTGCGGATAAAGAAAATGAATGCATTAACACTCTTTTCTTTTATTTGCAACTCAAAAATATCAGTATGGAAAGTACTACACAAAAGAATGTCTCCCACAGCTGTCAGGATGAACAACGCCTAAGAGGCGCAGCACGGGGTTGAGTAGCGTTGCGCGGAGAGCGCCCGGCTGATGGCCATTCACTTGGGCATGGTGCCCTCCAGTGCAACGGTGGACCAGCTGCGCATCGCGGTGCGCGGTGCAGCGGAGCCTGAATCGATCACCCCAGTGTCGCTGGTGGTGGACGACGGTGTGCTCTCCAACACCACATTTGTCGGCGAGTTTCATGCAATCTCGGAGGATGCTGACGGCTTCCCCTACCCCGATTATACTTTGGAGCGAAAGTTCTGTCTTTTCTCTTCATGCGTCTTCTGGTGGTCGTACTTAAGGATGATACATTGCTCGTTGAGTGGCCGGGAATGGATAGGATTGTTTTCTCTTTTGTTGTTGTTGTTGGTTGTTTATTTTGCCAATTCTTTATATTCTATTTATTTCATTAAATTTGCTTATGACTTCTTTGGTAGGGGCCTGATGTTACGCGTGGAGAAATTTCCTTCAGCTTCTGGGTTTTGGTTTTGGCTTGTCTTTGGGCGTACGTCGCCGTGCCTTCCGTGCGTTCGGCTCGTTCCGCAGTGCTGGGAGACACGCAGCTGGATGCAACTGAAAATATCTTTTTGTTAGTGTTTTTTATGTGGACATTTTTTCCTTTTTTCTTTTGGGGCACATGTTAGCCACGTAATATTGACTTGGAGCGGTTTACGTGGAGCATGCGGGGTTGATGTTTTGTTGGGTTTTGTTTCGGGTACAAGGCTGGACTGCTTTTCTTATTCCCGTTTTTTTTTTCTTTGTACTTATGCGTTGGGCTTTTGATGCGCTCTTTCATCCTTTTTCTCTTTTTTTTTTTTTTTTTTTTTTTTGTGGTAGCCGCTTAGTTCTCTTCTAGTTTCAGTTTAAGTAATTTATTTATTTATTTATTTATTTATCATTTTTGCGTGTGTTTTTGTGCGAAATACTCATGACACCCGTAAGTCACGAGACGACTGGCGGTTCTGGCGGTGTGCGGCTGTACGAGTTTCGTGTTGATGCAACATCCCCTCGTCCCTCCCAGGATGTGCTTGAAAAGGCTTTGTTTGCGATTACTGGCGTCACCGTGATCAGCGTTTCCATCCGGTCTGAAGATGACACGATTGTCGTGAAGACCCTGTGGACCGCTGAGAGGCTGGAGCGGCTTTTTCACGGGGTAATCTCTTCACTCGGCTATGTCGTTGCTTATGACGTCCCTGTGGAGAGCCGATTTCTTATTGAAGGAATGCCATACTTGAATCATGCTTTGCGCGTTGAATCTCACCTGAGAAGCCTGCGTGGTGTGGAGAGGGCAGCGGTCAACTTTGCGACTATGACTGCAACTGTTGTCCATAATCCTAAGGGGGTGACTGCTACGGATCTAATGAATGAAATAGGCATAATGGGATACTCTGCGACGTTGCAGGGATCAACAGGTTGCGCTATTCGGCCTCCAACAGGCACTGCGGGCTGCATTAGGCGGAAACTAGTTGTCAGTGGCATGTCATGTGCATCATGTGCGGCGCAAATTGGATCGCGGGTCCGGCGGTTAGATGGCGTGACTGACTGCGTTGTCAACTTTTCTACGGGGATTTGCCTGGTGACGTTGGATCGTGAGGATGCACTTCAGCGTGTCGAGGAAGCAATTACTTCTATGGGATATACAGTTTCAGTATCGCCGCCGAGGAACCCCACAGCTGCAGTTTTTCTCAATGAAACGAAAGCGGCCTTGGAGAGGACAAGAGAAATTGAAGAGCAGAAGAGGCGGTTTTTGGGTGCTGCGGTGCTGGCAACGCCTTTGGCGTTGCTTATGTTTTTGATGGCAACAACAAATGTGTTTGATGACAGCAGAACGATGGTTTTTGTTGATTTTGTTCAGATGGGCTTATCGACACCGATTGTGTTTTATTACGGTTCGGTGTTTTTCATCCACGCATGGCAAGGTCTGAGGCACGGAATGTTAACGATGGATACGCTTGTTGCCATTGGGGCTGGTTGCTCTTATTTGTATTCGCTGGGTGCGTGTATTGTGATGGTTGTGGCAAAATACCAAATAGCCACTTATTTTGATGCTGCAGGTATGCTTCTTGCATTTATGTTGCTGGGACGTTTTCTGGAAGCGCGCGCGAGGCGCAGTACGAGTGATGCTCTCATCAGTTTAATGAACTTGGTGCCGCCCGTTTCTATTGTTGTCACCGCGCAAGGTGACATTACAATGCCTTCGTCTCTGCTTGAAAAGGGAATGCGTGTTCGTGTGTTGGCCGGAGACCGATTTCCAGTAGACGGTATTGTTGTGGAAGGAATGTCGGATGTGGATGAACAGATGGTGACAGGTGAAGCGATAACGAAGGCAGTGAAGGTGGACTCCGCAGTGATTGGTGGGACAACAAACATCACTGCAATGCTTGTAGTTGAGGCAACCAAAATTGGCGAAGAGACCATGTTGTCTCAGATTTTGCGCCTTGTACAAGAGGCACAGAACACTAAACCCGAAATTCAACGAATTGCCGATCAAATAGCCGCCTACTTTGTGCCTTTTGTTGTAATGTTTTCAGTGGGTGTATTTTTTACTTGGTTGCTTCTAGGAGCCTTTGACATGTACCCGCCAGAGTGGCGCGGCCAGAACGAGACTATTTTAATGTTTGCATTTGATTTTTTTATTTCTTCTGTTGTGGCTGCGTGTCCCTGTGCCCTGGGGCTTGCGACGCCCACTGCCATCATGGTGGGTACCGGTGTCGGTGCGAAGAACGGCATTCTGGTGAAGTCCGGAAAATCGCTTGAGGTTGTGCGCCAGTCGCGCTGCATTGTCTTTGACAAGACGGGGACCATTACCTTTGGAAAGTTGGAGGTGGTCTTTAAGAAGTGCTGGGGCGACAACGTCGAGGAGGTAATGAAAGTTGTTGGATTTGTGGAGCTACTCTCCAACCACCCTGTGGCGAAGGCTGTGGCCGACGGGATTCTTTTGGCGAGCCCGGCGTCCACGTACGACGTGGTTTTTTCTAAAGTAAAAGGTGGTCTTGGTACTGAGGCCGTCGTTCGTTGCAGATCTCAGAATAACGAACTCAGGGTGCACGTCGGCAATCTTGCCATGATGCGAGAGGGTAATATTCATGTTCCCCCGGAAATCGAACAGGCTGTGCGGCAGCAAAACAACATGGGCAGAACCACAGTTGTCGGAGCCGTGAATGGCGTCGCGCGGCTTTTGGTTGCACTTGCGGATGAACCCAAAGAAGAGGCTGCTGGAGTCGTGCGCTTCTTGCACCGACAGGGATTCCGGGTTCTCATGGTCACAGGGGACAACGAGGGTGTTGCGGCACATGTGGCAAGTGCGGTTGGCATCCAAAATGAAAACCTTTACGCCGAAGCTCTTCCCACAACTAAGGCCAGCATCGTCCGACAACTTCAATCCGAGGGCGATTGTGTCATTTTTGTTGGTGACGGAATCAATGATAGTCCGGCGCTGGCGCAGGCAGACGTTGGTATAGCTCTGGGCGCCGGAACTCAAATAGCTATTGAGGCTGCGGACGCGGTACTTATAAGCAATAGCTTAGTTGACATCCTAAACCTGCGGGCTCTTTCCATCGCCACGGTCAAACGGGTATACGGCAACTTTTTCTGGGCCTTTGGCTACAATCTATGTATGCTTCCTCTTGCAAGTGGGATGCTCTATCCTTTTGTTCATTTTAAGCTATCCCCCATTTTAGCTGCTGCGGCCATGGTTTTTTCTAGCATAAGTGTCCTTTTGTCTAGTCTTTCAATCAGGTGGTTTGCGCCTTACGAGACAAGAATGAATATTGGACTCCCCCCCAAATGGTAAAAAAAAAAAAAAAAAGCAAAATAAATCGATAAATAAATTGATTTTGTTTGATCGCTAACTACACTTATATTACGTCCTTAAGATATTACTGTACAGGAAGAAAATATGATTTTTCTTTCTTTTGAAACACAGACATCTATTGGTCCATTGCATTTTAACGGTATTTGTAGAGGCAAGACCTACACGAAATACACAAAGTACTACACAAAAGAATGTCTCCCACAGCTGTCAGGATGAACAACGCCTAAGAGGCGCAGCACGGGCTTGAGTAGCGTTGCGCGGAGAGCGCCCGGCTGATGGCCATTCACTTGGGCATGGTGCCCTCCAGTGCAACGGTGGACCAGCTGCGCATCGCGGTGCGCGGTGCGGCGGAGCCTGAATCGATCACCCCAGTGTCGCTGGTGGTGGACGACGGTGAGCTCTCCAACACCACATTTGTCGGCGAGTTTCATGCAATCTCGGAGGATGCTGACGGCTTCCCCTACCCCGATTATACTTTGGAGCGAAAGTTCTGTCTTTTCTCTTCATGCGTCTTCTGGTGGTCGTACTTAAGGATGATACATTGCTCGTTGAGTGGCCGGGAATGGATAGGATTGTTTTCTCTTTTGTTGTTGTTGTTGGTTGTTTATTTTGGATATCAGTCTATTTTCCGTTGTTGTTATTTTTGGCGCTCTGTTTCATCTTTTTTATTCTTTTTTTTTTTGCTTGTAAGAGTGTTTTGCTGAACTCATTTTTTTTTTTCGTGTATTCGTGTGTTAGAGGGTTGTGGAGTTTTCAATTATGACGAAATACGAACTGAAGCTGCAGTATTTTGACGAGTGGATGATGCGATGGAGGAAGTTTCAGACGGATTCGGATTGGACAATTGAGAAGAATCGCCAGTGGTGGCGTAAGTGCAATATGGCGCTCTCTGCCGTGTTGTTTGGTTCACTGGTGGTGTACACTTCGGGGACGGCCACGCTGAAGCGCCAGTATGGTCTCCCCCACTTTTTTGATGTTGGCATTGATGGTCAGATCAAACAAGCGGTCCTTCAGACTTTGACCTCTCGTTGGCGCTACACTCCGCAAGGTTATGGCCGCGTGTTGCTGACGGGGATTCCCACATATACGCTTTTTGTTCTTCTCGAGCATTATCAGGAGAGGCGACGCATGCATCTGTATGTTGCCCAGAACACTGTGTTTGGGGAACAGATGCGTCGTTTTTTGAATACTGGGAAAATTGAAGAATATCTTGCGGTGAACATTAAGGGATCTCTGCCTCCTTCTCAGCGAAGTATTTACGCCTATTAAGGAATATAAGATGTCCGCAGTGGCTGTGGGCGTTATGGATAACAGGGTGGGCAATTGGTGAAAACAACGTTTATATATATATATATATATTAGCGACGTCGGTGGTGGGGATGTGTATCAGCAGCTGCAGTCTTGTTTAGATGCGCGACTGTAGGTGTGGATAGGTGAATTGGTGTGGCGTAGTTGTTTTTTTTACCTTGGGGCCCTTTTGTTGTCGTTGTTGTTGCAATGTGTTTGTCTTTTTTTCTTGACGTGCTTGCAGGTCTGAGTCGAGTGGGCGAACCTTCAGAACCTTGCGCATGGTTTGTGTCTCTGACGAGTTTGTGAACGGCGTGTCAATGGAAAAGATGTAAGGAACTAGGAGTAGTGGACGAGAGGCCATTCACCTCTTGTTGAATTTCTTTTCGTTTTTGTTTGTAGGAATTGTGTCCAAATCTTAATGTTCTGTTCGCTTTTGTCAATGCTGGCTCCTGTGATGGGAGAAGTCTCATCCGGCATCAGTGCATGTCTTCTGTAATGACTGCTGTTGCCATTTCAGGTAAAATTTATTTCTGTTCTTGTAATTCTCCGTTTTTTTTTCTTTTTTTCCTTTCGGCAGCGAGATTGCAGCGTGTAAGGGGCATTCGAGTGAGGCGGGAGAGAACACGAAAGGAGAGGAGGAAAAGGTTGCTTGACAGCACGTTGCCACACAATCTTTTTTATCATTCTTTTAGGTAAGCAGGAAAGACAAGAACAAAAAAAAGGGTGGGGTGTCTGCACATCCGCAAAGAAGACTGCGGTGTGCGACCAGCCGTAAATTACGTGGGGTCTCTGAAGGATTGTGCCATCTCCCAGGCAAATCTCAAGTGTGTTGTCAGCAGGGGACAAAGGTGAGGGCTGTGAAGCGTGGGTACTCTGCCATGGCGCAGCAAGGAGGTAACATTAGGCGTGGAGGCTCTCGTAGTAACGTACATCCTGCCTATGGGGCAATGGGGCAAACGGAGAAGTTTACTAGGGATGACTCCACGGAGACTTTTGAAGGATGCAATATCCAAGTGCAGGTTAGGACTCGTGAGAACGGTCGACGTTCTCCTCTTGTAGCAACGCCTAATCACCTATCGCAAAAGTCCTCTGCAGTGCCACTGAATTCATACGGCAGCGAAGAGAATAGCCCTCCTATTGCTACTCCCATTGCATTTCGAGGGCCCCAGGAATTTCCTGCTGTGTTCAATCCACAGGCTCTACTGCAAGAGCCACTACCATCTACAGTTGTTCATCGTGGACTTTATGGTAAGTGTCGTTTCATTTTGTTCCCTTTGCTTTCGGTGTTTGAATTTGTACCACCCCCACCAGCGGGGAAGAGTTTTCCCCTCTTTGTTGGCCAAGTGCGTTTTGAGACAACGCCTGCAGAGCTGATTTGGCTTTTTCGTCGTACATCTGGCGCATGCGCCATTACCGTTGAAGGGCGAGGAAATGGTTGCTTTATTGTACACTTACAAAGTGAGTCCGAACGGTCTTTGGTGCGTCAATTGCACAGACGCGTTTTATTTGACATTGGCGGAGTATGGTTTGCCCGATCTTCTGAGGAAGTCGATAGCCTTTGTGAATATGTGGCGCTTAATGGGCCGTATCTCTCCAAACAGGCAAAGCTGCCGCGTGACTCGATGGTCGTTGAGGACATCAAAGTGGACTTGAAAGATATGGCATTTTGTCATCCCTGTCACTACTCTCAGGAGGCAGTGGCCCAGTCGTTTTGGAGCGGTAGTGGTGTTGCGTGGGATCCTTCAAATAGCCGAAGAGAGACACCCACAAAAACGCCATACTGCTCGCCGCCGACATCCCCACTGGCGGCGTCATTAAAAATGCCGTACTCAAACATGAGACCACAAGATGTTTATCAGACATGCACCCCACCGAACTCGTTAAGAAGGGGCATTGAGGGCGCTCGTACGGAGCTGTGATGAGCGTGGGGTGGATGGATGAGCTGAAAGGGGGGTGGGGGATAGTGTGGGCAATTAATAAGCAAAATAAAAATCAAATAAGGTAAAAAAAAAAAAAAAAGAGGGAGAGAGATAGAAAAGGGCCCCACACGGGTCTTTTGGAAGACAAATATGTGCGGTTTATTTTTATTTTTTGGTTGTCTTTGCTTGTTTGCATTTGTTGCTGTTGTTTTTGGTGGATGGGGAGGGGGGAGTTGATTTGTGTCGCGGGTACCAAATGATGTTCTTTTTGGATTTGAGTTTTCCTCCCAGTTGTGCCCGTGTGCACCATCATCCGAGGCCAAGAAGCGACAGGGGAGTAAATGTTTAGAGGGTGGGGGATAGAAACCAAAGGAAAAGAAATCAACAACAACAACAAAAATAATAATAATAATAACTAAATAACAATAGTAGCACGCGTCAGTTTATGAAGTAATACGCAAGGCTCCAATGAGGCAAAAAGAGGCTTTAAAAGACCAAAAGATGGGAAGGACGGTATTCTCTTTTGGCATTTCAGAGAATAATACAAAATGAAAGGAGCTCACGGAAACAAATGACGCACGACAAGAAAAGAAAACGTCTTTGAAGGAGAATTAAAAAATAGAAACTCCCTGGAAGAGGGTGGTGGTAAATCCCCGTTTTTTTTATTGGTTTTGTTTGATTATTCCTTTGCGGTTGGGAAGGGAAGGGATATGTTTCATGACGTCAAATCGATTTGATGATGACGGTTACAAATACTTTGCTGTAATGGCTGCTGCTGACGGCCTTGATCGGGGCGCGGGTGCAAATATGGGTTGGCTTTCTCTATTTCTCACTGTATTTGTGCCGATGGGGTGGGAATGATCCGGATGATGGCAGGGAGGTGGGGTGGATGAGTTTGTTGTTGTTGTTGTTTTGAATTTATTTTCATGTACACACTTGTGTCTGTCTCTCTCTCTCTGTGTCTGTGTGTGTGTGTGTGTGTGTGTGTGTGTGCCATCATCTCCCCGCCCTCTCTTCTTCTGCTCCACGCGATGTACGTTCGGCTGCGCAGGGAAGTGGTGATAATAGGGAGAAGGAAATGCTGGTACTGTGGCGTTCTTGCTCAAACAAATACGACGGAGAAGAAGCTCCTACACACCAAGAAGGAGGGGAGGGGAAAAAAGGGGGGAAAGGGCAGATGGGTGGACCTTTTCTCACACTTTGGTAGTAAAAACGATGGATAAAACGAGAGGAAAAATATTATGCCGGGGCGTTTATTTTTGCTGCTGCTCACATTTTCTTTCTTTTTTTTGTGTGTTTTGTTTTGTTTTTGAATCCTGTCACTCACCTTTGTTTTTGCCGTAATTTTTATCCTCTCATTCCCATGAGTGTATGATCCAATCCACGTATTGCTGCTGTTTATTTCTTGAAATGAAGGCGGTGGAAACGCATGTGCATAGGTGTGGTTGCATTTTTCTTTTTTCATTTGTTTTACCCCACGAGGGCCAGTTGCTTCGGGATATTTATCAATGAAATACTCGGAGAGTGTGGGAAAAGGAGAGAGAGAGAGAGAGAGAGAAGCACTGCATTTTTTGTTTTTCTTCTTTTGTTGATATTGTTTCTCCAAGCATAAAAGTATGCACCCCTTTTTTTATGTGTGTATGCAACGGATACATGCATACATGGGGGAATCGAATACACAAGCGGAATGATTTGTTTCTTTACATGTGTTGCGAACGCATTTCTCGCTTTATTTATTTATTTTTTTTTGTGTGTGTGTATGATTTAGCTGGGAGTTTTGTAATGACACGAAACTGAGGGCGGAGAATAGGCACACAAACAAAAGCACAGAAAAACAAAAACGGAATACTGAAACTTAAAGAGGAAAGAAAAGAAGAACAGATGTATGATGGTGGTTTCGGCTTACTCGAATGCATCTATTTGCCATGCGGAAGCACTGCGGCTTCTTGTAACGGCTATCTTCCCGAGTGCATCCATCGTCTTCTCTATCCCGAAAGGGTCTCAGATGTACGCAGGAGGAGCCGTGGTGGAGGGTGCGCTCTTTGAAAAACTCCATCAAAAACTTTTGCGGGCTGAACCATCCTCAGACGTTGCAGAAGAATACTGCGACCAGAAAAGACGACCGTCGGAAGATTTGCCCGTGTCGCCGCACGGTGGATGCCTGCAGGCACGGAACGGCCCTCTTTCCACGCCGTGCTCCCCAGATGTTGCGGATGTGTGGAGAACGCTTTATCTTAAGTGGCCTCCACAACCGGTTGCAGGCCGTCCGTTATGGCGCTACGATTCGGAGGAGTCATCTTTGCCTGGAATGCCGTGCTGGACACCCCACGCCGTGGCTTACATTGGTGGCTTTGAGGCTCCTGATCTCCGTCAAGTTGTTGCGCCACAGCTGTTTGCCCAGGTGCCACCCTTTTCCAGCGACACGGAGGTGGACCGAACCTTTGGAGGTAGAACGTTTGACTACAGGAGGCAGAAGGTTCCGAAATTTGCGTCCAGGGTGCTGGACAGAGAGTTTCTGTTGCGGGAAAAAGGGTGCGCAATACACGAGCCCGACTTATTGGAGATGGCATTGCCCGTGACGTTCCCGTCCAACAGTAGTCTCAAAGAAAATTCCACTGAGACGCGGCGTGTACGCACATTTGTTTCTTTTGCTGGATCTGAACCGAATCTACGCGCGCTTCAGGTGGCAGTGGATCCAATGCATCGACGAGCATTGCGTCCAGCCTTTGGTTACTCCATTGCCACACTAAAGTTTGCTCTTCCCCCTCCTCTTGTGAACGCCACTCGGCTTCTTCGACAATGGAATGAGTCATGGTCGCCAACGCCTCTCAGCACCGCATTCTGGCTTTCCGCAGTGGGACACGCGGTAGAACGACGTTTGCCAATGGACAAAACAGCGGCTTTTATTCTTCATGAAAATGCCTGTAGCCTGGCGGAGGCGTCCAAGTCGATTGCCTTCCTTACAGCCTCGCTTGTTAGCAGTAGTCCTCAGGAGTGCTGGAATAATTTTTTCTTGCCCGTGGAGCGGTTTGAGGCGGAGCGCGGCGTGCGGGAACTGATGGACACAATCAATCTCTTGCCAGTTGGGCAGCTGCAATAATCACGACGTGTGTGTTTCTCTTCTGTCCCTGATACATGTGGTTGATTCTTGATTGTAACATTTGTTCTAACGGTCATATGTGTGTTTATTGATGTTGGGTGACATTTGGTGGTGATTGAATGCCATCTCCATCTCCTTTTCTTTTCTTCTTTTTTTTTTTTTTTTTTTTTTTTTTTAAGGGAGAACGGAATCTTCTGCATTGATTTTATTCTGTGGAGAGGAGGGATAATAACACTAACAATATTAATAATAATAGTATTAAAACTGCGCAAATATGTTGTTTCAGATTGTAAGTAACGTTGCAGACAAGGTGGATCTTTTCATTGAGGATGAAATGACTGTTGGTGAGGTGCGTGTGTTAATCGGACAAATGATTGACGCCGATGAAAAGACGATTCGTCTTACATTTCAGGGCCATGTGCTGGAGGACGACAAGGCCACATGGGAATTGATATTAAGGATGTATCCTTTAGCTGAAGACACCCCGCGCAAACTCTTTGCGCATGTCTCAGAAAGGCTGAGGACCGGATCGGCGAGCATGGAGGCGCTGCGAGCGGCGTTAGTGTCGGCGTCGGGTCAAGAAGACGAAAAAGCCGCGCGAGTACAAGCCAGACTTATGGAGCCCGTTATTGACCTCATGGTGAAGGACCCATCCATGCTTGAAATGATGTTGTCTTCGCATCCAGGATTGAAACAAATGTTGGAAAAACACCCCGAACTGAAGAGTCATGTCTGTGACCCAGAGACTCTAAAGACTTTGATGATGTCACAAATTGATCCCGATCAGCGGCGCTCCTTGAATCGAGGAATGGGATTGCAACTTGCTCAGCTTAGTGCGTTGCCCGGAGGCGAACAACTTTTTGAACACCTGACTTCCGAATATCTGAATGACATGGCTGCCCTTACGGAAACCAATGTCTCTAGTTCTTCGGATAACGTCGATGAGGCACAGGCACGTCCTGATCCAACCAAAGAGGCAAACAGCGAGGCTTTGCCAAATCCCTGGGAAAGGCAATCGTCCAGTTTGCAGGGCGCATCAGGGTTAAACTCAATGAATGGAAACACAAATAATTTGTTTAGTGCATTTGGCGGACTTGGAGCTTTTGGAGGTTCGATGCCTTTTGCTGGGCTACCCGGTAATATTGCATCATTGGGTCACACGAATCCCGTGACCGCGGCTTCCTTTTTGCCTCCACGGATGCTGCCTTCTTCTCATGAAGGAAACCATGTGCCAACTACGGATCCTACCCACACAAGGGAGGCATCGGCAAATACTGGAGAGTGGGCGTCACAGTTAGCAACATTAAGGGAAATGGGATTTGATAATGAGGCACTGTGTTTAGAAGCCTTGCGTGCGTCAAATGGAGATATTGATGGGGCTGTTAACTACATTGCTGATAAGGATAAATGAGCGTTGGATCCTTCACAGGCCACAAAGAAGTAGTGATATTCATCTTCCTTGGAATAACAATTTTAGGATATATACATGTATATTCTATCAGGGAGGTGGGTAGATATTTTCTCCACATTTGCACGAAAGCTTGGATTTTTTTAGGGCCTTTTTGTTGTTGTTGTTATTTTTGAGGCATGTAATAATTTATTATTATTATTTATTATTGCGGTTACGTTTACGTTTTTTTCTTCTTGTGTTTCTACATGAGAATGTGTGCTTTTCCTTCTGTGGTTGTGTCTTTCTGCGTGAATGTCTGTTGATGACGTTGTTGTTTCTTTTTGTGTGTGTGTTTCCTTGATTTTAATTATTCAGGCGATTTAAATGTCTGTGCGAAATAACGGACGGAATAAACTTTTTTTTTCTTTTTTTTTTTTACCCCCCCCCCCCC